ATCTTATTCTTGAAATTCTTTTAAATGACAGAAAACTAGTCACTGTGTTAATGCTTTTTGATGACTCCTTTATATAGTTAGCTTACCCTAACTGATATAATCATAAAACTTACAACTATATTGGTGTGAGAGTGAGTAGCTATGTGGGTACACAAAAGAATTTCTTTTGTCTTTGCTTTTTCATTGGTAGCAAAAAGTAGCGGCTTGTGCAGGGTGTTCCTCCATCTTGCCTCATCACAGAAGATTTCCTGTGAAGAAGCCATTTCTGTGGGATGCTGCTTGCAGCCTGTGTTCCTCCACTTCTCCAGGGTGACAACTGATGACCCCAGAAGCTTCCATCACAAGACTGAATGTTCTGCTATTGTTGATTGAATGAGTGGGTGGCTCTCTCCTCGGTCTCCACATCTTAGGCAAAGCAGTGCTCTAGCAGGTTGTACTTGAGCTCTGTGTGTTCAGGTGGGCCCTGACATTGTCTTCCTGCAGGTGTCCTGGTAGTCTCTGCTCAGAAACAGAGGCAGCCCCTTCCAGGGGCCATGGTTCAGATCCACTGTTGGTTCTTAGTTTTCTCAAAGATGAAGTTTGCGTTTCTGTTTTCCTTCTGTTGTTGCCGGATGACTTTGCAGAAGAGAAGGGACACAGATGTCTTTAATTCACCATTTAAAACAAGAAGTCTTTTTATTTATTTTTAAAATAACTTTTTTTCTTAATTAGGAAGGGATCTATGTTCATCATGGAAGTGTTAAAAAATGCAGAAAAGCAAAAATGTAAAGGTAAAGATTGCTGCTAATTTCACTCATCAGTGGTAACTCCTGTTAACATTCCCAACTTTTCTCTCTATTTTCCTGAGTATAGAAAGAGAGTATATGTAGATTGATTATATAAATATACTTAATGTATATCTCTTTTAATCTTAATTATTTAGCTTTTGGGAAACATGCTATGATATCATTGAATAGTCTATAATGCTATTTTTAATTGTTCTTGTACATTCCAGTGTATGATTTCAACATAAATGAACCAATCCCTGAATTTTGGACACTAATTTTTCCACATACTGACTATTATAATTAATGTTCATAATATTATTTTCTTACTTAAAGCTCAATATCCAGAGCATGTTTTATTTTTCACTTCACTCAGTAAAATCTAACTTCAGTGAAATTTCTACCTAGGTCAGATCACCATTCATTGTGAATTAGTAGTTGACTATACATTATTATTATCATTCAAGGTCAATGAGGGGGCAGAATGGCAAATGGGAGTTGAGGTGATGCTCTTGAACTCTGTGGCAGAACCAGGGTGAAGGTCTGTGCAGTTGCAGAGGCACAAAATACCACAAACTTTCAGGGATTAAGATACCTCTTCCGCCATGCTTCCCATAACCTTCACATTCAGGCATCTACCTCCCAATAGGGATCTCTTAAAAAAGATTTCTTATTTTGAAGCAATTTAAAGCTTAAAGAATAGTTGCAAAAACATTCCAGAGCTCCCTGATATCTTTCACCTCATACCCCTTGAGGTTAACATCTTCTATCATCATAGTAAAGTCATCAAGAACAAGGCTATTAACATCAGCTCAATACCAGAAACAAAAGACCTTAGTTAAATTTCACCATCTTTCCCTTACCTTCTCACAAATGTCTTAAATAGAAGACAAATAATTATACAGGATCTTAATATTCCCAAATGGCTATTAGTTTTATTTCTTGTTGTTCTATAACACTTCCTCAGTCTATCCTGTCTTTTGTGGCCTGGACACTTTGATAAGTACTGGTCAGTGACTTTAAAGAAGGTGTCCCAAGTTGGAATTTGTCTGCCATGTCCTCATGATTAAATTGAAGCTATGTGGTTTTTTGAAGAGGTTTATCTTTAATTTTTTACTTTATTTTTAATGATGTATCATTCTTTTATATCCTTGTTAATTCTTTGATAGTGTAGGATTCCCCTCCTCAGGATACTATGTACTTTTGGCAAGAAAACACTGAGCTCACATGTTTCTCAGTGCATTACATCAAGAGATTCATGAGGTTGGCAAGTTTTACTCCTGGTTATATTTTTACTTTGGTCACTTGGTAAGCTGGTGTCTGACTAGCTTTTTAACTGTAAAGTTAGTACATTTGCCTTTGTAATTGATAAGTAAGTATCTTAGAAGAGATTACTTTCAGATAATATCTCTCTCCTCCTCACACTTTATTTTTTTCCTCTTCACACTTTTGACCAATACTTTTAACAACCATCGGTGTCTGCAACAATTATTTTTAAATATTGCCAGTTGGATAAGTGAGATGTATCTTAGTGCTGTTTTACCTTGTAATTTTCTAATTATGAGTGAATTTGAGCATTTCCCCATATACCTGAAATCCATTTTTATTATCTATTTCTTATAATTGTTTATTCATGTCTTGTCCCATTTTTATTGTGTCCTTTGTAGCTCAATTATTGAGTTTCTATATTAGGAATATAGACCTTTTGCATATGGTCTGTATTGTGAATAGTTTCTCCCAGTACCAGTCACTTTTTCATTTTCTTTATGGGGTTTTAGTATATAGTTTTTTGTTATTTTTATGTAGTTTAAATATCAGTCTTGTTTTCTGTATTTTCTGGATTTCATCCTTAAAAATTCTTTCTTTATCTAAGGTTAGGGAAGCATTCTTCTAATATTTGTATCACTTCATGTTCCCATTTATCCTAAATCTAGTTGAATTTTATTGGTATAGATAATATGAGGTATTGATGTAAATTTTTCTTCTCCAAATGGCTACCCAGTTGTCTTATCATCATTCAGTAAGAAATGTCCATCTTTACCCAAAGGACTTGAGGACTGTTATCATATTTTGGAATCTAATCCTTTTCATTTCATGATCTATATGTCTGTTCATATACGAATACTAAAGTGTTTTAATCATGGGAGACTTATATTTCTTTTAATGTCTAATTAAGGCAAATTTTCCATTGTAGTTTTTCTCATCTCAGTATTTCTTAGCTATCCTTGCAATGTTTATTTCTCCAAAACCAACTGGCTTAAACTGTCCAACTCTATAAAATAGCTTATTGGTATTTACATTAGAATTGCATTAAGTTCAGAAATCAACTGATATAGTGTCTATAGTTTTATCTCAAGCAAGAACAGGAGACATTTTTTCATCTATTCAATTCATTATTTTTTAAATTGTTCAGTGGAGTCTTTTGATTGATCTAGAAATGAGGAATGACTGCCCTAGACCACAAGTGGTCATGAAAGAGGATAAAGAAGAGACTAGCAAATATATCAAAGCTACCTACATTGTCTCATTGATCCAATCACCCTGTAAAGTAGAAATTACTTAGCTATATTTTACAAATGGTCACAATGAGGTTGAGGTAATAAAGCTAGAAAGTGGCAATAAATAGTGGAGGGAGGATATGAACTCATCTTTCTGGTCTCTCCATTCCACATGCAAGGGCATGCCAGGTAATGGAACACCTAGGGTAAGGAATATTGATATTAGGGATTAGAGCTTTCAGATGGTCATTAGAATGATGGTAACTAGCCCTAACAGTAGAACCCATTGCTAGGCTTGGATAGCAAAAGATTTCAACCTTTATGGAAATGAATTGTTTGATCACGGCTGCCTAGAGTACTGTATTGAGGTGGATTGTAAGGCTTCACCTAGGTACTTTGGCAAAGTGTGTAGGGATCAGTTAGCAATATCTTGTATGTATAAAGGTTGGGAGAGGAGATGAGCTGAACACCTATTAACTAGGCTTGGACTGTACACTATGGCCAGAGAGCAGTGACAGAAATGGGATGAGATTTTATTAGCCTCTGACAGGATAGAATTTTTGAAACATCAGGGCTGAGAGGGCTTAAAGAGTTGCTAGATGTTTTATAAGCACTTGGGGAAAATATTTGCTGTCAACTTTGTGTGTGATTCCAGTGGTTAGAACAATGATGTTGAAGGGCAAGCAAATCAGGTTCATAAAAGGAAGAACTTTTTAGTAATTGAAGTTTAATGAAATGGAAAATATGACCTGGAGAAGTTCATGAAATAACTGACTTATGATTATGACAGAGACATTGAGGTTTAAGCTTTGGAAACCACAAGGGTAGTTGTGGCTAAGACGTTAGACAAGTCAATTACCTTGTCTTATGCTCTCTTAACCCCATATAAAATGGCTTAAGGCTCACTGATATTGTAGTTTTACAATTATTTGTGTGATATCATGCATAAAGTACTTCCCCATCACATATGCTCCCCCATGATGGCAGGGACTGTTTTGCTCAAAGTCCCTGGAACAGGATAAATGTTCATTGAACAGCTGAATCAATCCATGCAAGCTTGTAACTCTCAGTTGTTCTGTTCTGGGAGGCACTATCAGTCTGGTGCTTGGGTCAGAAGTAGTATAATTCCTCTGAGGTGCCAAGTTATATTAGTAGCAGAGACTCCAAGAGACAGAACATCACAGAAATCACACCCAGGTGTCATGTCAACCATACCATATTCACTCGTGGATCTAGGGAGGGATGAGGGTAGAGGAAGAGGGAGGCTGGGAAGAAAGGAGAGAGATGGGGGGTGAGGTCTTGAAAGTGGTTCCCATGGAATTTGTACTTGCTTTTTGAAAACCTCATCACACTTATTGTTACTTGTTGAATAGTGTCTTTTTTTATTATATCCTTCTACTCAATATCTAATTTTCCTGTTCTATTATAGAGACCATGGGATGAAAACCTTGTGTTTATTTATTGTTGTATACCAAACACCTAAGGTAGTGCCTGTACATAGTAGGTTCAGTATTTGTCAAATGAATAAAATGTGGCCTAGACTCATTTTTCCCTCAGTAATTTATTGTTGATACATGATAAAGCTGGGGTCCCTAAGCCCTTCTCCAGGGGTTTTGGGATGGAACTGAGACTGGATGAGTTTCTCAGTGTGCAGGATAAGTGGGGAAAGGATTCCTCAGCAACTAAGGACCTCTCTCCTCTTCTTGTGCTCTCGCCGGTGTGGTGGTCCAGGGGGCTCTTACTCCTTGGAGGCCATGTGGATCTGAGGTCCACCACTCTGTTGCTGTAGCCAAATTCATTGTCATACCAAGAAATGAGCTTGACAAAGTGGTCATTGAGGGCAATGCCAGCCCCAGCATCGAAGATGGAGGAGTGGGTGTCACTGTTAAAATCACAGGAAACAACCTGGTCCTCAGTGTAGCCCAGGATGCCCTTGAGTGGGCCCTGTGATGCCTGTTTCACTACTTTCTTGATATCATCATATTTGGCAGCTTTCCCCATGCAGCAGGTCAGATCTACAACTGACACATTGGGGGTAGGAACACGGAAGGCCATGCCAGTAAGCTTCCCATTCAGCTCAGGAATGACCTTGCCCACAGCTTTGGCAGCACCAGTAGAAGCGGGGATGATGTTCTGGGCAGCCCCTCGGCCATCACGCCAAAGCTTCCTAGAGGGGCCATCCACGGTCTTCTGGGTGGCAGTAATGGAATGGACTGTGGTAATGAATCCCTCCACAATACCAAAGTTGTCACGGATGACTTTGGCAAGGGGGGCCAAACAGTTGGTGGTGCAGGAGGCATTGCTGACAATCTTGAGGGAGTTGTCATATGTCTCATGGTTCACACCCATCACAAACATGGGGCATCAGCAGAAGGGGCAGAAATGATGACCTTTTTGGCCCCACCCTTCAAGTGAGCACCAGCCTTCTCCAAGGTAGTGAAAGCACCAGTGGACTCTACATTATATATTCAGCACCAGCACCACCCCATTTGATGTTGGCAGGATCTGTCTCCTGGAATATGGAGATGGACTTTCCATTGATGACAAGTTTACCATTCTCAGCCTTGACTGTGCCATTGAATTTGCCATGAGTGGAATCATACTGAAACATGTAGACCATGTAGTTGAGGTCAATGAAGGGGTCATTGATGGCAACAACATCCACTTTGTCAGACTTAAAAGCAGCTCTGGTGACCAAGAATCCAATCCTGCCAAATCCATTCACTCCGACCTTCACCATGGTGTCTGAGAGGTGTGCTGGCACAGCACGGGAAGAAGCAGTTGTTGTTGGACTAACAGGAGCAGAGAGCTGTGACCTAGAATCTTAGTGCCCAATAAAGCAGCATGTGAAACATGAGTATAAATAACACACAATCTAATTTTTGGCTGAGTAGTGGTAGTCAGCACAAACAAGATCCTACAAAAGGTAGCAAAAGGGGAGCCAAGATGGAAGTGGTTGACCCTTTTCTAAGCAATGGCCACTCTAAGAGATATTGGGAAAACACTCATCCCAAGAACTCAAGAAACTAAATTTGCATCTGATGGCCTCAAGGGTCATGCTTTTGAAGAGAGCACTGCTGATCAGCAGAATGTCAAAGTTGCATTTACAAAATTCAAACTCATCATTGAGAGTTTTCAGGGAAAAACTCCCTGACTAATTTCTATGACATGATTTTACCCAAGACAAAATGTGCTCCATGGTCAAAAGTGGCAGACTATGAATGAAGTTCATGTTGATGTCAAGACTACTGGTGATCATTTGTTTCATCTGTCCTAAGTTGGTTTATTAAAAGATGCAATAAACGATTTGGAAGCCATCTTAAGCTCAGCATCAACAGGTCCCCCAAGTCTGGAAGAAGATGATAGAAATTATGACTTGAAGCCTGAGGAAAGGGGTCATCAATGAACTGATCCCAATAACAGTGGGGAAAACATAGAAAATGCTTGCTAATCTATTTAATGGGCCCATGATGTCTTTGTTAGAAAAGTAAAAATGCCAAAGCCTAAGTTTGAATGGGTAAAGTTATGGAGCTTTATGGTGAAGGTAGTAATTTTGGAAAAGCTACTGGGGATAAGGAAGGTTGAATGATTTGCTGGATATAAGCCACAAGTGAAAAAATTGTTTAAAATGCAGACTTAATGGTGACAAGTAAAAAATCTTACTTGTAATGCTTTAAAAAAGAAAAATACGGGCCCTCCCTGTTGGTGCAGCGGGTTAAAACACAGCACTAAGAAGCTAAAGCCACTTCCGCATGAGTTCGATCCCCGCCTGCCCTGGAGGTGACCACCTGGGGCAGCAGACCTCTCCTGACCCGCCCACCACTCCCCTCAGCAGTGTACTTGTCAGCCGGCCTGTTCTTCTCCCCACTCTGTCTCTGGTGAGTCCTCTCATTGCTCCTGCACCTCTGGCCTGTACCCTAGTTCTGTATGCAGAAATAAATAAATCTTTAAAAATAAAAATAAAAAATACATGGTCTCTGCCTTCATGTATTCTGCAGCCTAGGTAGAGAGCCTTAGGAACAAGCCCAAGAAACTCTGATATATGAAGAATCTACAGCACTCCCAAAATGTTTAATGCTATCAAGGCTTCAGTGACCAGTACAAGGTATTCTGATCCCCCTTATGATGATTACCATACAAGAAACATCTCTCTACCTTCTATTTGTATCATTTTCTAGTGTTGATACTCTGGTTTCTCTTCAGATCGTGTAAATCTTTTGCCTTTCACCATCTTATAGTATAGAAAGAACACAGGACTAAAATTAAGTCCAGGGTGTAGTCTATTAACCACTCTAGTTTCAGTTTCCCCATTTATGAAATGTGAGCGGGAGGAGGTTATTGGAATGATGATTGATTAGAAGTAATCAATCTAGAAGTAATCTTATAAAATTCTTAGAAAATCTAAGTTGAAAGTGACTATACAAGGAGGTACTTGTGTAAGCATCTTTAATGAAAAGATGCTTCAACAACAACCTAAATCATTGTAAAAACAGACAGAAAACTAAGCCTTATTTCATAAAATCACACATTGAATAATACATGAACTTAAAACATTGAAAGGAATATTTAGTTTTTTTTTTTCATTGAACACAAAAAAAATATATCCCTGCACACATAGAAAATAGTGCTGTGGCTTAAAAAAACTTTGATATTGATATTAGTTGAACTGTAAATTTTCAGGAATGTAATATTGATTACAGCTGAATACAAAAAGAACACAAGGAATTACATAGTTTACTATTGTCAGGAGAGAGATATGTGAGCAAGGAAGATTAATATGTAAGTGCAATGGTGTGGATTAGAATATATTGCACATTTGATTGAGTAGAAAAAGTGTGTGTGTGTGTGTGTGTATCCAGTACTTACAACTATATTTGAGATTATTTTAAAATCATCCATTAATAGACACTAGCCAAATCCATTAATTTTCTGTCTTTTCTCACTTTAGACCCAATTTTCCATGTCTAGGCTATTGCAATGATCTCACAACTAATCAATATATCAATCTTTACCAAATCACATTGACCACACCTAAAGCCACCAGGTCAATTTTCCTAAAGCATCCCTTTTTTTTTTAATGTCACTCATTTCCCTCATTCCTTTCTTCTCCCTATTCCAATAAAATTGCCCAGAATGATGGGGTTCACCTCAGGGCCACACATCATGTGCTCCAGAACAGGGGCTGTGTTTGTTTTTACTCAATCACTATCTTCCCAGCACCTAACACCATGTGAAGGGAAACTAAATGTCCAGTAAATGTTTGCAGAATGGGGTTCCCACTGGTGGCACACAGGTTAAAACACTGCACTATGAAGCTCTCAGAAGCCACTGCAGCACCAGTTCAATCCCCAGCCAGGGAGCTGACCCACGTGACATGGCAGACCTCTCTTGACCCACCCTCTGCTCGCCTTAACAGAGTACTTCAGTAGATTTGCCTGTTCTGCTCTCCACTCTGTCTTTGCTGAATCCTCTCACCCACCACATCGCTGGCCTGTAAGCCAGTTCTGTAAATATAAATAAATAAATCTTAACAAAAATGTTCATAGAATGAATGAGCATATGAATAAGATTACTCAATAGTTGCTGGGAAATGGAGTTAATGAAGCCTAATAGATTGGATTCTGGGTTCCCTATTTCCTCAAAAAATTAGAAGCCCCATTGTTTTTAATTATGTTGGTGTTCTTAAATTGCTTGAAAAAGGAATCGTGTTGCTTTAAGACAATTTGTAAACTAATGAACTAAAGATATCTCCTATACCTGACATTTAAGTTTTTTCCCTAGATCTTCTCTATCACTGTTAGCTCTCTGGGGACTCCCAAATTTGTTCTTAACTTGTTTCTAGAAGCAGCTTTGATTTAAACCTGGTCAATTATAATGTTAACATCTAGACCAGAGTTGAATCATTTAAGTGTGGTTTCTTGATCCCAACTGGGCACTTTCTGAAATTGCAAACATTTTTTTTTTATCAGAAACTAAGCACCTATGATTTATGTATTTCTTTTAATTATGTGAGAGACTCCAATATGTTTTCAATACATTTCCATTTGTTGCCACCTCAGGGTGAAGTTTGGTTTCTGTCACCTACCATCCAAAGGCTCCTGACAAACATTTTCTAGCCAGACTGAGACTGCTCTGAAAAATACCCACTCTTCTGCTTTGGCCATGAAATCCCTATATTTTTTCTTATCTACCCACTCATTCATGCAAGTATTTCCCAAGTAGCCACATTGTGCCAGACAGAAATCTAAATCCTACCTTCCCCAAAACTTCAGCTGCTGCCTATGACTGTTAGTGCTGATCCACCAACTTCATCCTGCTCCAGAAGCCAAGAGCACTCATGCTCAGTGGCACTTTCCCTCTCACTGGTGCACCAACCTCTGACAGAACTGTTTCTATGACATCATTCTATGAAATAATGGCCCTGAACAGAAATGGGGTGACAAAGCTAATGTGCAACTTGTCTAAATGTCTAAGGGTGTTGCTCATTACACTTCACTCCATAAGAATCTCGGGGGAAATTTCTTTCCTATCTCACTATCAATAGCACAGGTGCTTCTGAGTAACTGCTGCTTTTGTCTTACTTTTTATTTTATTTATTTTTTAAAGATTTATTTATTTATTCATACAGAACTGGGGTACAGGCCAGAGATGCAGAGGGTGAGAGGATTCACCAGACAGAGAGTGGGGAGCAGAACAGGCAGATCCACGAAGTACACTGCTGAGGGGAGCAGCGGGCGGGGCAGGAGAGGTCTGCCGCGCCAATGTTGTCACCTCCGGGGCAGGCGGGAATCGAACTCATGAGGAGTTGGCTTAAGCTTCTTAGTGTAGTGCTTTAACCCGCTGCGCCACCAGGGAGGGCCTGTCTTACTTTTTAAATGTCATCATCACCTTGTGAATGATTTAACTGGCTAAATTTCTCTTCTTGCAGTAGTTGCCAGAGTACTCCAATCAAACCCTCTTAGAAAGCAGGTAACCTTGTATGTGAAGTCAGCAATGATTGCGTCTGGGTACTAGAGGATGAGGACATGTTGTATTGGCTTAGTTTCTTAGACATGTAATTGGAGTGCCTTTGGGCTAGGCACTCAGTCTCTTGGTTACCATAAGCATAGCTACCCTGTTGTAAATTCAGTTTGTCACTTCTCACATGGATGTATCTGCTTGCCCTCTGAACATGGCTGATTACATGAGTCTGTGTCGGTAGTCTGCATTAATTTTTTTTTAAACAACATATTTTATTTAACCTATGGTACCCCAAATATTATCATCTCAACTTGCAGTCAACATTGAAAAACATCATAATGGGGAGGGTATTAAACCTTTGGAATTGGTGTCTCTTTACTTTTTGTTTGGTTAAATATGCAACATCAATGGACCACATTAGCTATTTTTAAGAGTGAGGCTAAAAGTTCTGGAATCAATTCCAGCGAGTTAGGTGAAGTTTCCCAAACTACTCAGCAATTCTCCTATACTGGTCGGGTGTCCAACAATTCAATTCAATTCTGACACTATCTGCTTGAAAATAGCTTCAGTTCCCACAGCTTAAGAGCTCAGTCCCACACTAAGGTGTGGGTAATAATTCCCGGTGCTCAAATCAGTTGACTATAGAACCTCCCATATAGGAGTTGATTAATTTGCTAGAGTCACTCACAGAACTCAAAGGAACATTTTACATACTCAATTGTTTATTTTCAAAGGCTATAACTCAGTAGCTGTAACATGAAAGAGAATGCAAAAAGCAAA